AATTTCCGAGGGTGGTTTCGATTTTTTTTTTTTCCTGACACAGTTTGGGGAGGAGGGAAACCAAAGGAAACAAAATAGACCAGCCACTCTGAAGCAATCAGAACCAAGCCTATTGCCAAACCGTGTAAACAGCCACACTGCCGGGAGCCAGGGCCCAGCAGGAACTCCAGCAGAGCCTTGGTCTAAGGAAGGCGGAGTGCGTTCTGCTTGTTCTGGTCCAAGAAACAGCTTTGTTAGGGACAGTTCACACAGAAAGGAGGTGTCAGCGAGGGGCAGCGCTGGCCATTTGGCCAGTCCCAGAGGACGGGACAGCGGGACACTGGCAGATCAGCCTCGGAGAGGCCAGGAGCACTCCCACCTGACAGCAGGTCCCTTCGCTCAGCTCCCCTGGCAGTTAGGGTATGTGGGGAATTCTCTACACGAGAGAGGAGACCCCAGAGAACCGGGGAAGTTGACATGAAACGTCAGCATTAGCTCTGCATAGCAGAAAATCAGCTAAGCAACACCTCGGCTCACCCCTTCCTGCCTTTTCCTCCCTGCCGACCGCCAAGCCCAACAGGGCCCGCCCACCATGGTTGTGAGCTAACCACTCCTCTTTCCGGGTTTCTCGGGAGAATGAGGCATTTGCTCATGTGTAAAACCTTCTGGATGTGTGAAAAGTGAGGACTAGGAAGACCGAGAGGAAGAACCGCTACGTTAGTCCTTGTGGTTTCCCATCAGCCGAGGATGTGCGCTGAGTGCCAAGTAACAACCAGGTCACAGGAAGTCCCTTGCATTGATGCTTCCTGAATGAGGAAGAAACGTACCCACCAAGGCACTCCAAGGGCCTCCAACAGAGGAGCCAGCCCAGCGTCAAGGCCCTTCCTCACGCTGGCTCCCTCTGTGCATCGCAAACCAGTTCTGAAGGGTTTATAAGGCAGATCTCTGAACTGCTGGTTCCAGCCGTGGCCAGAGGTTGGCTCCATTTCCCTGTGTCTCTTCCCACTCGGATTTCTTCATTGAATAGAAACCTGTTAGCCCTTGGGAATCCACTTCTCTCCTGCTCCTCGGCCTGGTGGCCTCAGAGGACAGACTCCCAAGTCTAATGCCCAAGCTTACATATCCCTCCCATTGGTGCTCTGTCCGGGTTCAAAGGCGCTTCAAGGTGAGAAATCGTTAGCACTGAAAACAAGGAAAGGCAAGAATTTTTCATAGAATCCCACAGCTCAGAGCAGCTCTTTAAGAGGAAAGGAAAGGAGAGAGGGAGAGTGGGGCAGGAAGCACGGCTTGTTCTCAATTTTATCCGAGAAAGGTCTTTAGCGGCCACTGGGCCCCGGGGCCCAGGAAACTAGACCAGGAAGGAATTGTCTTTGGTCAGTTTTAAATGAACATCTTGCTGGTTCATTCCTAAAATAGACTGAACATCGGTTACACATAAAGACAAAAGGCCTGACCTCAGGATAAGTCGAAGGTTAAGAAATCATTCTGTGAAAAGCAAAAAATAATTTAAAAAAAAAAATGCCCGTTATCGACAAACTGATCAGCACAGCTTTCAGTAATGGTGATGAACAAGTAGGTAAACACCACTTCCCCTTGTACAATTGGTTATATTGAGGACTACGAACTAGGTTACTACATTTCCCCCACACTCACTGTACAGTTAGGTTTCTCGTATTTGTTTTTTACATTGAACTATCTACTAGGTGCAAAGATTTGGTGAGTGGCATTGGCTATAATTTAATTGTCGCCTTTTTTAAAATTACGATTTCACATTTTAACAGTTACTTTCCAGCATTTAAGCAAAGACAGCAATATATAGTGGACTAACATAGGCAGGAGTCAGGAAGAGAATGCCAGTGCTCAGTGACCGTGGGTGGGGCTGGGTGCCTGTGGAGGGACCGAGGCATGCAGAGTGCCAGATGAGGAAGTGGAGGGTGCGGGTGGGGGACGCAGGAAAGTATTTTTCCATTTGGTTCTGCGACAAGGCTCAGATTTGGGGCTGGATGAGTGAGGTGTGAGCTTCTCTAAATGTGAACTCATCAGCCTTTTCCCAATGGAAAAACAGGTGCTTAAAGAACACAGCTACAGCTCTGCCTTCAGATAATTCAGTAAAAGGCAGGTCCATTCTCACGAAAGAAAAATGAAGTCAATTCAGAGGAAAAAGCCACATGGTTGGACTGGTGTTATGTAGATCAGGCACCAGGTCTGTCAACTCAAATTTTCTCTTTACGTCTGGTAGTCCTGGCAGAGAATGCTACATTTTGCTCAGGAGACAACTACATTTAAGGTCTGGCAGTATCTGCGGGGTAGGAATGGGATATCTTGTACCCTGGCTGGACAGGATAGCATCCTCGCAAATAAATGACTTCCGTGCCTGACATGACCCCTGCTCTCAGACACCCATTAAATTATGAGCATGGCACAGATTTGCTTTCTTTTCTAAGCTGTACAATGGGGATATCTTCTTACAGCCCACAGAGGTGCTTGCTCTGAGGTGCTTTCATTTCCAGGAGCTAAGAGAACAGTTGGTTCCAGGCAAAACAAGGAAGGTCAAGCTTGTGATTGCCTCTCCTTGTCATTCTCTTTTTGGAGCCTTGCTTGCTTCTTCCTTCCACTGTGTGCTCTCAATGTCAATCCTCAGGTGAGGCAGAAGGGCTTGCCACTCCCACACACCCAAGGATTAGTGACTCAATGGGTCCCTCCCTCTGGGGGTCACCTTTTTGTGGAAGACCAGAGGACAAGGCAAAATTCATCTAATGGGGTGAAATGATATCGATGGAATTTCGAGCATTTGTAGGTGATATATCTGTAGGGCTGTGCTTGGGGATCTTATGAAGCTGGTAGGAAAATTCCACTGCCTACTCTCAAAAGCCATTAGGAGGTTTCAAAAAGGTCTCGGATGGTTTTTAGGCTAAAAGACCTACCTTACTAATGACAATAAAAAGAATAATCGTGTTGGCACAGTGCTTTCTAAACAGCTTACTCGTTTACATTTCATCCTTATTATCTTCATTTTACGGAGCAGGAAACTGAGACTCAATGAGGTGCAGGGACATGCCAGCGTCCCACGGCTCCCAAGTGGTGGGCGCTGGGACACACAGGACTTTTTATTCCAAACCATAGCCATGGACATACTCAGAGGCCTTGAGAAAGAGATGAAGCGTGAGAATAGGGAGGAAACCCTTGGCTTGGCATGAAGGTGGTGAATAAAAGTGGTCTCGTTGGAATCTAACTCATCTGTGTCCCATTATCCATAAACAGCCATCTCTGGAAAAACAGGAGATGCAAAGAGGAAGCAAAACAGAATTGAACACAGGTGATCCAGAGGCCCTTTCCCAGCCAAGAGGTGAAAGCCCTGCTCATGTACTTGATGATCACACCCCCAATTCTTTCACCATGTTTTCACTTACATTAAATGCTCTGGAGAAGGCAGGTGAAGGGGAAGGGAAGGGCGAGAGGGAAGCTATTTCACTTGCATAAACTCAACCAAAGCATCCTCTGGGACAGGAAGTGCCAAGGACCGCCCCTCCCCGGCCCTGGGCACTTACGGTTCATGCACTTCGTGCAAGAGGCACCAGCCAAAGTGCGTCATGGCCTGATTTTTAATGAAAACGATGTGACTCAGAACCTCCTTGCCTGTTTAGTTCCACATCTGACACAGTATAATTAGTAGAAAGAGGAAAGGAAAAAAAATTAAATACTTTGAAAATTGTATAAGTTAAACCTCTATAGTTACCAGAAATATTCCTACGGCGTTTCTAGGTTTTGAAGTGTTCCATACCACTGTGGTTTTATTATTTTTTTCCCCTTTTCCCAACCACACATAATACTGTGCTACGATGGGGCTTAGGTTCTCACTACCCCCTTTTCTACGTACAAACACACGGATGCCGTGGTCAGGGGTCTTCCTGCCAACGTCCTCCCGTGCCTTTGGGGGTACAGTTGGTCCTTGGCCTTCAGGTGGAAAGGCAGGGTCTCTGGGTTGGACAGGGGGGTTCCCCACCTCTAGGAGCAGCCTGCTTGGGGACTGCCTGCCCCACCCTTCATGTAGGGGCAGACTGTTCTGGAAGGCCACGACTTCTGGAGACAGTGGGAGACTGTGTTTGTTTTTCTGCAGCTTAGTGGTATATTGCTTCATTCGCAGTTACTGTGGGCCTCTAAGTTCTCCCAGAAAAGTCCCTGCAAATCCCACCAAATAACAGCGGGAGATGTTTGGTGGCATGGGTCTGAGGTAAATCTAAGTTTCGTAAAAAGAAAAAGGAGATCCTATATACATTTAGTATGTGTCCCGATCTAGTATATGTATATAGATGCATAAATATATATATGTACACACACCTACAGACACATACATACATATGTATGTGTATATATGCACACATATACATACATACACACATATTTATGTATGTAGAGAGAATGTCGAGAGAATCGTTTTCCAGTGACGATATGCCGGCGAAGCCATTGACCATGTTGCCACAACCTAGGACACGCTCTAGCTGGGGCTGCTCTGCTCCTGCGCCTGCTCCAGCTCCAGCTCCTGCTCCTCTGGCCTCCGTCACGTCACACCCACGAGCTGGATGGAGCTGCTGCCCGTGCTAGGCCTCAGCTCTGCACAGACATTCTTTCAGGCTGACCTCTGGCCCCGCCCGGTGAGGCCAGGAGCACTGGGAAGGGTGTGGAAGTCACAGAGGCCCCGGCCAATGGTGCGCCCCAGCGGCCAGGGCAGCGCCACCCCAGCCTGCGGGTCACATGGTGCCCGACTTGTCCGCTGAGCTGTTGGGGAACATCTTCTCGGTGGGCGTCACGGCCGGGCTGCCCACCCCTGAGCTGCTGCTGCTGC